AAAATGCTAAAACAGGTCGATTTTTATTCTAAATTGAACACCTTTTTACAATACAGACATCTGTCATGTGTCAACTCCTCCAGTCTAATCAACAAGTTCAAAAGCGTGTTTTTGGGACATACTATTACGAACATTATGTTCAATAGCTCAATCGATTCGGAATAATGTCTAGATCAATGTGTGAAGAAAAATTTTGCAGTGCATAAAAAATTGCAAAAGTTATAAACAATTAAACACCTCAAAAACATGGTGTTTGGTTTTTCGCCTATAGTTTGTAAACTATAAATATTTTTGGATTTTTCAAAAAAGATCCTTAAAGAGGAGGTCATTTGCTATAAATAAGTTTGAACTCTTGGAACTGTACCTCCATTATTTATAATTTTAATTTAACGCTCAAAGTAGCCTTCCGCGCGCCATTTTTAGGTTGCGCGCACGGCGTCGAAACCGAGTACGTTACATAAAATATTTTTTTAAGTTAATAAAATTAAATTCAACAATTTTAAAAAATTACGGTATATTCTAAACACTTAGAAGAATTCATTCCCGTTGGAATTTTTCATAATTTTTTTTTTTTATTTATTATAATATTACTGTTTTAATGTCGAGAAAAGATATTTATTAATTAAAAAAAAAATGTTTTTCCTCCATTTGTTTATAAATTTTTTATAAACAAATGGAGTATTTCAATTTTTTTCAATTTTTTTTACAACTCTCTAGACAATTGCCAATTATGATTAAAAAAAAATTTTTTTTTCTTAATAATAACTTTTAATTGTTTATAATCGTCTTTTAAATATATCTATTGTTTAAATTATTAGTTAAGAAATGTGTTTTTTTTTAAATCATAATTGACAGTCCTCTACAAAGTGACAGCAAAAAAAAATTTTTATTAATAATTCCATTGTTTATTAAGTTAACAATTTGTTATAAACAAATTCCCAACTTTGGTTTATTTTTTTTCCTGAAAGAAATAAAAATTCCAAAAACGACTTAGTGCATTAAAATTACGGAAAAAAATTTTATTCCATTTTTTATTAAACTTAAAAAAAAACAATTTTTATAAACAAATATAAAAAACAACAAATTGACAATAGGAACGGAATTGACAAATGACTTATCTGAGAGATTGTTTTTTGTCGTATCTCCAATAGTTTAAAAGTTATATCAACTTTTAAGTCAACAAATGGATCAGCTGCTGCAACTTTGATAGTACGTATATTTTCAAAGTTTAATAAAAAATGAAATAAAGTCGTTTTTGGAATTTTTGTTTCAGGAAAAAAATGAACCAAAGTTGGGAATTTGTTTATAACAAATTGTTAACTTAATAAACAATGGAATTATTAATATTAATCACTTTGCAGAGGACTGTCAATTATGATTTAAAAAAAAAAACACATTTCTAATAATAATTTAAACAATAGATATATTAAAAAAACGATTATAAACAATTAAAAAATATTATTAAAAAAAAAAATTTTTTTTTAAATCATATTTGTCTAGAAAGTTGTAAAAAAAAATTTGAAAAAAATTGAAATACTCCATTTGTTTATAAAAAATTTATAAACAAATGGAGGAAAAAATTTTTTTTTAATTAATAAATGTCTTTTCTCGACATTAAAACAGTAATATTATAATAAATTGAAAAAAAAAATTTTTTATTCGCTCCGTGCGAAGTCATGGAAATGGAAGCAAAAGCGATACTAGCGCTAGCTGCGGATAATTCGTGCATTTTAGGGGGATATTTTGTAATTTTGGCATATCAAATACACGTATACATTTTACTTTTTTTTCAAAAAACTAGGTAAAAACAACACAATAAGCAACCGGAGTTGCTGTGTTGAAAATTGTTCAAATACTAGCAAAAAAAACAGTGAAACTTATATAACAAATTTCACTAACAAAGTGGAAATTAAATCAAAGAAATAAATGGATAGGTGTACAATAAGAAGAAAAATTACCTTTATTTTTGTGATAATAACAGTAATGCTGGAAATAGTAGACATCAGAAACTAGAAAGTTTTTAAATAAACAATAAATTATCATTTTACGATGTTCTTTAATATCCCTTTATTCTTAAATGTTCATTCAGCAAGGACTAGATTTCAAGATTTCTGCCGTTGATTATAATATTTGGCTGGTATGCAATTTTGTGACTTACTGATCGGAAACCAGTTTTAATCATTCATTCTATATTTTCTTTAGAACAAAAATGAAAATATAAGTAGCGATCCTTTTTATACATTTTAACTTCACGCTATTATAAATGGTTTCTTCAATGACAACTTATTAGACTTAGGCAACTTCTCATACATTTTCCAGTAAATACTGCCTATATTTTATTATTGATTTTTAATGATTATACATAATTTTCTTTAATTTAAGCGTGAAAAATATATAATAATAATAAAAAATTAATGTTTTAATTGTTTTATAAATCCATATACTTTTATTAAAACTAACATATATACTTTTTATTTACGAATTCTATTAAAAATTGTATTTGTCAGTATAGGCAGAAATAGTCCTTTAATACCAAAACAAATTGGCGCTGCTGTCGCGCACGGAGCGAATAGCACCACTGTGACTTTTCTGTTTTTGTAAACTTTAAAAAATTATTATAAACAAAGTATTAACATTTTTTAACCTTTAATGAAGCTATTTTGTTTTATATGTATATAAAAAGAGACCCACGAAGCAAAAAAAATTTACGGTAATTATTTAATATTTTTATCAATTTGTAATGATAAGAGAAATTCTAAAAATTTTGTTAATTAACAATAACCTACTTTGTTGGAAAATTAATTTTTATGTAAAATTCCAACGGGAATGAATTCTTCTAAGTGTTTAGAATACACCGTAATTTTTAAAAATTTTTGAATTTAATTTTATTAACTTAAAAAAATAATTTTATGTAACGTACTCGGTTTCGACGCCGTGCGCACAACCTAAAATTGGCGCGCGGAAGGCTACTTTGAGCGTTAAATTACAATTATAAATAATGTAAGTACAGTTCCGGGAGTCAGAACTTATTTATAGCAAATTTCCTCCTCTTTAAGGATCTTTTTTGAAAAATCCAAAAATATTTATAGTTTACAAACTATAGGCGAAAAACCAAACACCATGTTTTTGAGGTGTTTAATTGTTTATAACGTTTGCAATTTTTTATGCACTGCAAAATTTTATAATAGTATGTCCCAAAAACACGCTTTTGAACTTGTTGATTAGACTACTCCCTTGCATTTTTCCATCACCTTACGTTTAAATAGGTAATGTACCATGTATGTCACATCATTGAAATGGTAATTTAATGGGGGATTCAGAAATATGTCTGTACATTGCGTTACTTAAAATTTTCCGCCCTCTAGCGGGATAAAAAACTATTACGTATTATAAAGTGTGACACTACCATGTGTATAGTACATCATTAAAAAGGTAATTTTATAGCGAATTCAAAATATGGCTGTTTATTGCCATACATTTAAATGTACCGCCCTCTATCGGGATAAAAAAGTGTAAGTGTACGTATTATAAAGTGTGATACCTTATTTGAAAGCAAATTACTGATTTATTACACCACATAACATTAATATAAATATCCTCGATATTGCAATAGTTTGAAAATTAGTCATTCATTATTTTAAACATTATTGCTAACTTTATTTTGTTGCAAGTGCAATATGGAAATATTTATAGTAATGTTATGTGGTGCATTGAATTAGTAATTAAATTAGCTTCAAATAAAGTATCACACTTTATAATACGTTACAGGTTTTTTTTATCCCGATAGATGGCGCTAAAATTAAAAGTATCGCAATAAACAGTCATATTTCTTAATAAAATTTCATTTTCAATGATGTGCCGTACAAGGTACATTCCTTATTTAAAATTAAGGGGTTGGACAAGTGGAAGGGAGGGGGTTGACACATGACAGATGTCTGTATTGTAAAAATGTGTTTAATTTGGAATAAAAATCGACCTGTTTTAGCAATTTCTTAAAAATCCAATGATTAATGCCAAAAAAAAACAGGATGGCTAGATTTATCGAATTAGTTTATAAAACAAAATCTTCTTTAAAATGCATTTTTGACAAGATGCGCTATATAAGAAAGGTCCTCCCATCGAAAAAAATATAAATATTGAGCGCAGCGCCATCTACATATTGACCTATTTAAAATTAATTTATATCTAAAATTGAAGCTCTCTTAGTGCTCTATAAGAATGGCTTCTACAGAATAGAGGACTTCTATACAAGGGAAGTGCAACCAACTTGACAAAATAAAATTGACACTAATGACATAAGAAATCGGGTCACATAAAGAGGCTGTTTTTTAGTTTGATTTTTGGTTTTTCCTATCTACTTTCATGCCATTTGCATACCTTGTTGTAGGGTATTTTACATTTAAAGGTTGAAAACATTTGTCAATATCAGCTGTCGATAATGTCAAAACATAAGCGTAGCATTGCATTTTATTTTTTGTTGTTATTAGTCTAATTGTGTTTCTCCTGCTTTCTTGAAACATTATTTTTCATTTGATTTTATTTATTTATGTCGATTGCAAAATGCTGCTGCTACGAATACAAGTTCTATAAAATATACAACCAACATACAATACTAGTTACGTTATGCCCATCTATGGTTACGCCTGTGTTCTATCATTAACATAATTGACAGCTGACAATGACAAAATATTTCAACCTTTAAATGTAAAATACCCTAAACTAAATAGTCTTTTTCACATTACGGGTACAACAAGGTATGCAAATGGCATGAAAGTAGATAGGAAAAACCAAAAATCAAACTAAAAAACAGTCTCTTTATATGACCCGATTTCTTATGTCATTAGTGTCAATTTTATTTTGTCAAGTTGGTTGCCCTTCCCTTGTATAGAAGTCCTCTATTAAAATGTGTCTATTACTTACCAAAATATTAAGCCTGGGAGTTTTTATTGGTATACAGAGGAAAATAATTTGAAAATAATTTTAATAGTGTAAAAACTCACCAATTCTCTAAACACCTGTTCTTCTGGTGTTGTTGGCTTAGTTTCAATCTTTTGTTCATCGTCTACTTCACTGGAATAAAAAGAAAGTTTTTTATTAAAAAATAAGTGTCTATAATATTTAAGTTTTAAATAAAAGAGGTTATTGTTTTGCGAGTGACGAAAATAACATTTTTGACAAGTAAAACACTATTCTTTTTCAACGTCACGTACTAAAATGAAAAAAAAAAACGAACGTAAACAAATGCTTTAATATTGTACAACTGACACTTCTTAATAATGATCTTTAAAATTTCAAATAAAGAACTGACACCAGACAACTAGATGTGGCTGTTTTAAATTAAAATAATTTTAATTTGTTTTTAATTCAATAAAAGTGAATTAAGTGCATTTAGATTTTAATGACCATCCTTTTATTTTATTAATAGAGAGATATTGCAAGTTCACTTAAGGTTAGTCACTATTAGCGCCACTCTTATTTTGACACCTGAGCATGCGCAGATCTTTTACGTTCTAGAACTGACGTTTTTTAATATTAAATATTTAATATCATCGTCATTTAAACCTTCTGAAACTTCAAGTTTGCAATAAATCTTATTTTAGCATGGAATTTATTTGCCTCTAATTACGTTGTCACTATTAGCGGCTGACGTTATAGAAATTTGCAATATCTCTCTATTAATAATAATAATTATTATAAGCTGTAAAAATATTATAATTAATTTTGTGACAGTGTTACTGTTTAAAACAATAACCAAGATGCAACCCTCTGTCACGATTTTCTCAATAAATAGCTATAGATCTTTTACAAAGAGAAATAATAAATTAATTGGGTTTACATATTTAGGTCTTTATGTTTTGAACCGAGCTTTGTTTTTAATATCAGGAACAAAAATCTATACATAGTTCTGTCTAGAGTCTAGACTGACACAAAAAATATATAAAGAGTGATCAACAAAAAAATGTGTCTAAAGTAGGCGATGGCCGACAAAAAAAGATGGTCCGTGATAATTACGCACGATTCTGAAATAAATCCATACTAACCCTTTAAAAGAAAAAGAATTGTCCGCTACATACGTTTTCCAAGACCTACTTTAGAGGAAAATGAATCACTCTATACTATATATACAGATATTTCTAGTATTTTTTCAAGGAAATTAAAATTTACAACCAATAAAAATGATTTAACTGAATACATATTATCGTTAAATACTTTGTATTCAGACAGGAGGATGAGAACATTTGCACAAAAATAAAATAATGACGACAGAATGTGCATAGAAGTAACTTCTAACTAAAATAGTAAAACTAAAGATGTACTTTAAGAAAATGGGAGTTATATATTTAGGTGTAGTCGGTGTCAACCAACATTTGTAAACATTAGTTACGGTGAATTTATGTTCCGTTCGATTTTAGTTGAGAATTAATCAGTGGTGTAGTTAGGTCTTTTTCAAGTAGGATTAACATATGTGGTATTTCGGAAAGTTCAAATAATTTGGACGATGGTATTTGAGAAACAGATTTAAATATTTTCAAGGGTAATAAGTATCACAAGGGGTGAACATTTTTTGAGATAATTGTTGTTTTTCTAAATTTCATGAAACAAAATCCTTCTTAAAATACCACCAAAATATTCTCAAAACAAATTCTCACCTCGCATAGTATTTGAAAAGATTATTTAACAAAAAAAACATAACTTGTATAAACAATATTTGCTTTGTTTCCGTAAGATGAAGTCGAAAATTATTTACAATGTATATTTGACCAAGCAAAACGATTTTCGTCCATTTTTCGTCACCTTCTTGATAAACTTCACATTGGCGTTTCGCATAAATCATTGATACGTTACTCTGGTAATGAACTGAATTTTTTTGACAAACTTGACATTGACGTGTCGCTTAAATCATTGATACCTTATTTGATAAGATGGCATACTCTCACTATATGCCTGATATTACCTACGGTGTTCTCCAGCGGTCACTTTGTCACCAGTACTAACTATGGGCCGTTAGTTACAGTTATCGTAACATAATTTTATGATTTTTTGCAGCAACGCTGAAGCAGCTATGTTGAAGCAGCTGGGCTGAAGAAAGTTTTATTAGATTTGTACAAACCACATTTTGATGGGCATGCCAAAGATCTGGAACCTACAGTTAACGAGCCAAAGAGATGCATTGATCACGTGTACATCAACCCTAAAATGATTGAGCAATTACCGTCTGAAGATCCTCTACAATAGAAGAGGGGCTAACAAATAAATTAATGTAAAAAATAATATTAGTGTAATTCAATTTAAGGGTATTATTTGCGGAATTAAAAATTATTATATTTAATAAATTTAGTTTGACAAACTAATGTTATATTATTAACTGAACTAAACTAAATTTTGCATTAGAAGTATACCGTGATTATACTATAAAACGATTAAAATTCCATTACTTATTTTCGGCCATCTAATCATAATTTAATTATATTTATAATTCATTTAGTAAAAAATGATGGAGAAATCCTTTCTAATACGATAGGTATGAATCAATGATTTGTCCCAGGCGAGTATTTTAGTTTACCTCTTAGTTCCAAACGGACCGTTGACGATTGTTTCAAAATCATTTGAAACATATCAAAGACGGTCCTGTGCTCGCGAACCCAGGTGTTCATTGTTGACGGCCAAGAACAAGTGTGTGTACGTGACAGGAGTCGTGAACGCGCCAAGCGACTTCGGCGCGGAAAAATTAAAGGCTAACTAGCTTAGGTGACGTAGTCATATGTGTATATCTCTCTTTAAAACAACACAAAACGGCAGAGAGGTCTGTGCTTTCACGAAGAACAGATCGACTCTTACTAACATCATGATAATTATTTTCTGTTATACAAAAATCACTTAAGTTCTCTGAGCAAAGATGCAGTGTTAAGCATGTAGGTAGTTGTTAAATAAAAATAATATAAATATGTACAAAGTTAAAAGTTGTCGTGCATCGTTTTTGCACAATAAATTGTTTTTTACAAAGTGTTGGAATTTAATTGTTCATATGGAGATGGTTGCAGCTAGCACCATTTGGTAAGCGCGCCTTTGGGCCGTATTTATAATTCCTGTTGGATTCAACTATTAGTAACCTACAAATCCAAAAACAATTCTTGTTTTATTATTTGGAAATTTACAAATAAATAATTGTATGCATATACATAATTCTATTATTATTGATGTTAAAATAATTACAAATATACATGGTTCATCTTCCATAATAATCTACGAAAACCTGTTCCTGACCTATAACTTGGTCAAAGGAGGTTTTGGAAGCGCAACCCTTAACGCTTTTAGATGACGCAGTTTTATTGCTCCATCTTACGGCGCGGCGGCGTAGATTGTTTTCATTCCCGAATCTGAGCAGGGTCGTTCTTAGAAAGGTTGGGTAAAAAAGTTTTCGAATGAGTTAGCCCTGGGATATCTCTCAAGTACATGAGTGTTTCGCACTCTGTTTAGTTTGAGAGCATTCCTTTGGCAGTGCTCTTTACAATGCCAAGGAATGATCCTGGTTCTATGAACTCAGATTCGGTTCCTCTTTTACGAGTACATCGGCACTGTATACCGGAACTTAGCTTAAAGTAAGTTTCTTAAGCCAACCATGTTCGTCTCGCCGTTGCAAGCCGCTTCGTCTATGTTTCGATAACGTAGGACAGAGACAAATGTACTTCTAAGAAATTACCAGAGAAACCATTGCGCGTCGGCTAACTCATAGAGGAAGAATTCCCAGATACTCTAGGTCGCCGAGAATATACTGGAGCAGAGCTGGCTTTATACATATAGCACGACTGTAAATTTTTAATATAAGTTTTGTATAGGAAAGATAAATTGTAATAAATAAATTAGAATTGGGAGTTATAATAGTGTCTAAGTATTAAATATATTAATTAGTACGTTATAAATAAATTATAAATAAACTGTTTTTAATAAATAAACTATTTTTTAAATTAAACAATCGTTACAATATTTATGCAGTTCCAAATTCCATCCAGCTTTGTTTTGAATAAAAATGCAATACACCAAACAATTTTTTGAATACATATAATATTATCACACCTACCTATTTTATGTAATCTTTTTTGAAAATATTTTCATACAAAATGATTTTCCTATTTACAAAAAAATTATATTTTTTTCTATGGCTATAATACGCTGCTACTCATTTTCCTATACAATTTAAATGGCTCTCTTTTAGATAATTATTTAATGTTTGACATTTCATGACACATGATTTTATTAAATGAAATAACTACTTTGTGTTATCAGACAAGGATATGATACGGAAAATATTACTTTGTGTTATCAGTATTAAGTATCAAATAATAATAATAAATTGTCGCATCCCTTTCGATACGCCACTGGTAAAGTTACGTAAAATATTTTGTCCGAACAGGTGGATATGTTTAAATTTAGGTAGAACTTACGCTAAGCACGTTTTAAAAGATCATTAATAAAAAATGATAAATCAACAAACGCATATCGGTTTATACTTTATACAAAAAAAAAAAGATTTTTATTACCTGCGATCTATAAAAAAAAAAACGGAAAATAAAACTTATTTATAGAAAATAAACACATATTTTTTACGTCTATAATAAAATTCTAAGCTTCCTTAAATATTGTTAAGTAATGACGTACATTTCCTTATTTGAGAATTCTGATAAAGTAGTCCCTAATTATTTAAATAAACTCATGTGTGCCATTAAATATTTTTTATTATTTTTCTTCTCTAGAAGAGAGCTGTCATTTTAATTTAATAATTATAAAAAATATTTAAAAATGGGTAACAGCGTGTTATAGTCGTAGAAAAAGTAGTGTTAAACTCGCAAGGAATGCTAATATTTCTACTCGTACGATCATACTCGTAGAAAATGAGTACAAGTTCTTGCTCGTTAAACAATATACTCTTTTAATATAGCAAAACATTCTTTTTAATTTGTATTTGTAATTTTTATTTTTAATTTGTATTTTTAATTTGTATTTTTAATTTGTATTTTTAATTTGTATTTTTAATTTGTATTTTTAATTTGTATTTTTAATTTGTATTTTTA